CAGTCTATCAGTTCCATAGGAAGCAAGAGCAATTGCTCTTGCAAAGCTGTTACAAGTGCGGCAAGGGTCTGAGGAGGCAGACTGAGAGCAGCTAGACGTCTCTCTAAATCATCCCAAAAATGCTCAATAGGTTTCAAGTCCGGGGATCAAGCTGGCCACTCCATGCGCACAATTGTTTCCTGTTGAAGATAATCAGCTACGATGCGAGCCCTGTGTGGTCTTGAGTTATCGTCCTGTAACAGGAAAGCATCACCTATTGCCCAGCACATGGGCGCACATAAGCATCAAGGATCTCATCTCTATAAACCGGAGCATTCACAGTTTCCGTTGGAAAGACATGGAGGTCTGTGCATCCACCCAAAAAGATGCCACCCCAAACACAGACACTGTCTCTTCCGTATGCATCTCTTTCACGAATGTTTGATGGATGATAACGGGTTCCAGGTTCTCTCCATATCAAATTACGCCAACTATCGCTTTAGACTAAACCTGGACTCATCCGTAAAGAGAACAGCCCTCCACTGATCAAGCGTCCAGTCGACATGTTGTCGTGCCTAGTGCAAACGGACCCTCCTATGGCGTGACGTGAGCAACACGCAAATGGCTGGTCATCTCGCAAACACACCACCTTCGTGAAGCCTTCTATGTACAGTTGACTTTGACACCAACCTTCCGGTGGCTGCAGCAAGGGAGGACCTAAGAAGAGTGGGAGTAGCGGTTCTATTCCTGCATGCACATAATGTTAAATATCAGTCATCGGCGCTCGTCGTAGCAGGTGGCCGTCCTTGGCTGAACCTCCTAGAGGCCAAATCTGTGGTTTGAAATCGCCTCCAAAGTCTATGAACCACAGAAGGACTCGCATTTAGCCATCTGGCCACTTCTGTTTGACTTTATCCTGCCTCTAGTCTCCCAATGGCTATCCATCATAGTTCTGCAGGCAAATGATGCCTGGAGGTCATTGTTACGAATTGGCTAACTCAGATTTCTGATATCACTATCACAGTGAAATATGTGGGCTTGCTCTCAAACATGGACTTTTATTCTCCTCGCAGATGACATATTCCGAATGCAGCACCACTAATTTGCATATTGCTGTTTTACTCAGCTACTCTTTCTTGGCAACATATTCAAATTTTACATGGTTTGGCTTATTTATGAGGGAATTATCGCTATTTTTGTGATTTTTTATTAATTTATGATAACCAGTGTAGTTGGAAACATTAACCCCAACAAAAATGTTATCGAATTCTTTTGCAGAGTGAGGGAGCTCGAAAACATTTTCGGAAGCACTAAATTATCATAAATTTCTTATTAATAACTTGCTATAATTCAACCTATGTCTTAGTTTGAATGCGTTCTCAATGCTCCGGAAGCTGAGAGAGAAGAATCCCTTCTTTCATTGTTAACCTAAAACCAAGCATTCGAGGATGCAGTCAGTATCTGGGAGGGTAATCACTATGAAGGCTTACTAAGCTCTTCACTCCTAGCAATTCTGCCCAATATTTTTGAATTATTTTAATAATAATAAATGCCACACCTATGAATTTATAGAAATGTATTACCACAGACAGTCAAAATGAAAGCATAATGTAATAGAGTATTACATTAGAAATAGTAATAATAACCATTAATTAAATATTTAACTACGAAAATAATTAATTGTAAAGCAGCAAAAAATTTCTGTACAATCAAAACGATCACACTGCAGAATAAAAATTTTTGAGTATAAATAGCAGCAAAACCTAATTCTCAAAAGTAGATTTATGCTTAATACTTCACTAGTATTTCAAGCAGAATGAATTTCTACAGCACCCTGCATGTTTGCTTCACTGCCTTACTGGCTTCGATTTGAAAGACAGCTTGCCTTCTCCCATTCATATTCTTTAGTCCAAATATCCAGAAACAATTTCAAAGCAGACTGTCAAGAAATCCTTCCACAAAATGGATGAAGATATCCCACCCACTTCCAACAAATGAGTAAAAAGACACTCTCAAGGAGCCAAGCATAAGATTTAAAGCTATGCCATTACAGCAAAATATAACAAAGAAAAGAAAGAAAAAAAAATGCACTACAAAGATTATTAGATGGACATTCAGGGATTTCATGAATGAAATGACAACACTCATGAAATCAGCAAAGCAACTGATTCACACACAGATAAAGTTAATCTTGGATCTGTTGCAGGAGTGATCTTCATATATATTTTTAAAATATATCGGGTTTTAGCATGCTAACAGTCAATATCTGGCAAATTATTCAGTATTTTCACTGGATTTCACACCAAATGTGGCAGAGTCCAACACAGTCTAGATTTTACTTACAATTACATGTACAGTTAAATGTCACAACAAATAAACTTTTTTTTTGTAATGGGCAGAAGCTTTACACTGGATTTCGCACCGAATGTGGCAGAGTCCAACACAGTCTAGATTTTACTTACAATTACATGTACAGTTAAATGTCACAAGAAATAAACTCTTTTTGTAATGGGTGGACACTTTACGTATTAGCCATTAGTCTTGTGCCACTAGAACAGCCTGAAGTGATTGCCATTACATTATGGAAGCACTAGCCACCCAGATGGTAAAGTGGTTAGGGAAGCCTAACTGCGATAGCAAAGGGCCCAGATTCAAATCACGGAGAAGGCGTGGATGTAAAATTGTGTCCCTTCATAGGATGGTAGCGGTCGCCACCTATTAGGTGCCTAAAAGAACAGCCACCCCTTCTGCCCTTAGTGGTGGCCAATGCCATCTTAGGCAAGTGGAAAAAAACAATTATGGAAGTGGCCACCATCATCTCCTATGAAGGGACAGACAGTTACAACTAAACCTTCTCCAGGATTCGAACCCAAGCTGACGCTACTGCAGTCAGGGTATGGTAGATTCTTTTCCGCCGCAAGGACATAACTATGATTGGTGTAGAACCTTATGTCGGAGGTCCATGCGACGGCATTTCGGTCACTAATCACTATACCGGCTGGACGGCACAAAAAAAAACTAGTTTACGTAATTTCATTGTTCTATTAATTTTACCTCAGAAACTAAAAGATTCCCAGAAACAATCACATTTACTTTTTCAAGTACCAGAAATTAAATAAGAACTCACTTCTTAGAAAGGTGAGTGAAATAAATTATTGCAATTCTTAGCTGCACAAATGATGCTAAAAATTGTCCGTTTCAATAACATACAAAAAGTTACACTGAAGATAAAAAATGATTCTGTATGATTAGTCAATTAGTGATGAAGCACTTTATGGGCAAGATGCATATACTAAAAATGAAGATGTCAATTCAAACAAGCAGAAACCTCCTGATAACTGTGTAGTCACCAGGAAGAAGAGGTCAAAATATTACCCGTACATATTATATTATGGCTAAAAAACAAAAAAGATAGACGTTCATGAAAAAATTATAAGCAAATTTGTTAGTATATATTACAGCTAGGTAAGCTGTTTTAAAAGCTACCAATCAATTACCGCATATTATCAATTTTTGCAAGCTATCCACATACTATTATTTTGTGTTAAATATAAAAGCAAGTTGCTTGCTACACAGCCATTAAAAAAAAATTTGCCCCCATGCTACACAGCCATTAAAAAAAAATTTGCCCCCACTATCAAGAACGTTTGATAAACTTGTTATAAATGAATTATAATGCAGAACCAATTATGAAGAGTTACAGCAAAAGATATGCAATGACACAGGTTTTTCTAACAAATACTAACAATGTAATTAAAAATCTATTACTTGGACAACTGTAAATAGTCTCCATTACATGTAATCTATTGTTTATGACACTTACCTTGACATAATCATTAAACTCTTTTCTTGGCATTTTTTGTGATCTTAGATTTGTCAAGTTTTATCATATGCAAAACAGGCACTTTTAATTCCAGAAATTATTATTTTTACTGTATGATTACTGTGTTCCTGTCCTTTTTTTTTTTTTTTTCTAATAAAAGATATCCAGCACAACTGAATGTCTTCAATCCGAACAGGTGGGGGAAAATGATGCTACTAATATTTGAGCCAACATCCGTACAGCTAACAAGTGATAAAAAATAATACTCCTAAAATAATAGAATTATCAAAAAAGAGTGAGAAACTGGATCATTAAATTTTTTTATGCTTGATTACTAACTATTAAGAATTCTGATGCTGATAAATATAATAATGTACCTAAAATAATTTACGTAGATTATCAAAAAAGAAATAAAAATAAGCTGGCTGGATTCAAAGTTTACATAAAAAGATGGCTAGAGCTCTTCATAGCACAGAAGCAAGGAGCAGACAGAGTTATAAAGATATCAATCATTTTACTCTATTTCTTCATTCTTTACTCCTGTGCTGCAGACACTTTTGCCATTTGATGCTGGAATTATGCTACCATGAGCATTAAGTGTATCCTCTTAGTTGTCACAGACACATAATTATAAGAAAAATATTTTTTTTACTCTTTAATTAATAACTATCCTACGCCTTTGCTCTTTATTCCATACTATTAACAGTAATACTAGTTGGAGCTTGAAATTGCACATGGTCAGACTACAGCTAGATGAATTTATTCCAGATGAGCTGTCAGATGTTTGACTATCAAATACATTTAAAAATATACGCAGGCACGAACACCGATTTTATGGCCTGATGAATCGTCACAGGGAAACTTCTTTCACTTTAAAAAAAATACAAAATTGCAAAGCAAACTTTTCTTAAAATCAATATTCTCTTTCATATATATCAATAAACATCAGAAAAATGAATAGTTTTGTCAAATATTTCTTTCTTAACGTACAGACAGTGCTGCTAAACTAATCATGAAAATTTTACTTTTCGACGATCAAGGGATTCAGATTTAATTAACAGCTACTCAATAAATTTGTCGTTCCTCAATTACCGACAATGCACATTTATACTATGAAACTATTTAAAAAAACACATTTAAAGCGATAAACTAGCCTAAAAATCAGAAAAAGCTGAAAGAAATACTTATATATATTTACGTTCTAACTGAAATCACAAGGTACAATATGTACAGAGTTCTACATAAATTACACGAAGTTTGAACAGTAAACAGTACGAACTCCCGCTTTTTTTCCTCCACAACTATTAACACTGATCACACATGCCTGAAAAAAATTATTAAAAATTCTACAGACACATGTAAACCCTAATATGTAAATAAAGCTTAAACTTTGATTTTAATAAGTTTCAGACATATTTACTTAGATATATCAATTAAATTTAAGCAAAAAACAAAAATAAACTCTTACCTCCGCCATTATGTATCTGTAACAAATAGCGCCATCTCACTTCTAAATTGATTGTCATTTGCGATGCCACATGATAAAATAAATACCATGCAGTAGAATCCAAAATTTCGCTACAAATCAAGAATACAGCCACATGGGTTAACGAGCTGGTGACTTGGTACTTTTCAGCATTCTAATGTACCTTCTTAGCTGCTTCTTTGCCATTTTACAGGATAGATTCCCCAGAAAAAAAAAACCTATTCACCAAAAACCTATGCAAGGAAATGCAAATTATGGGAAATTCATGAGAATGCATTTGAAATAAACATTCTTAATACACCGGAGACTGACAAAAGACAGAATTTTAGCACATTTGAACGAAATACCATCAGTTATCTATCTGATGAACGTATAGAACGATATAAACTCTAAAAATAACTCTATCAAGATTACGTTCATGAACAACTTGAACAAAACGCCTAACTGAGAGCTCAACAATAATGCACTAATAAGTTCTTTATAAGTACAAAAGGATCAACAACGAATATAGCCAGTGAGTTACCTTATCAAGAAAACTCAAGAGAAACAAGAAAAGTGACGGAACACTCGTCGCTGTTATGGACGTAAAAGCAGAAGAGGAATCAGAAAAGGAAGAAGCAAAACCTTCACCTATTAACAAATTTAAAGAAGAAAAAGCAACCGAGTTGACTCCCAAAAAACTAAAGATGAAACTAAAAACTAAGGCTAAAAGGAAGATAGACTTCCAAAAAATTAGCAATAGATATGAAAAACGTAAAACAACTTAGCGACGAAGCTACAATAGTTCCTTAGATGAACAGTGGAATACTGAAAAGAATAACAAAAGCTCCGCTTAATTAAAAACTTTCTGCCTTCTGGCAGAAACAGAAGTCGGAAACAAACACATCCTTGTCTTCAGAGGAAAACAACTCCGAAAACGAACAAATGGTTGAGTCCAGTCGAGGATAAAAATCAGAACAACAATCTCTCAGAAATTGGGAAAAGCTATCAGGAAGCAGAGATCTTTCACTTTATGCTTCCTGAAAATGTTAACTACACACAGTTACGGAAAATATGAGATAATGAATTAGAAGCGAAATTTCATGGATAATGGGAATACGAATTTATGTAACCATCGTCGATATCTACAGAGATGCTAGCCGATATCTTGTGTCAGGAACGAAAGAAAAAAATGAATAAATAAAATAGCTAAAAATTAAAATAATTAAATTTAAATTAAGAGAATTGTAAAGAGAAATTTAATAAATTACTAAATTAATTTTAAAATAGTTAAATAGAAAAGAAAATATCGGATCTTGTCTTATTTAGGGCATTGGCTGGAATTACAATTCCACCTAGAAGGTAAGAAGCAGCTTAGCCGATCTCCATCTGAGTTTAAGCCCTGATTATATGTATAATGCACTATTACAAGGGATAACTGGTAGCAGTTTTTTTTTATTATTATTATTTTTATTTTTATTTTTATTTATATTTTTATTTATTTATTTATTTATTTTTTTCAGCTCCCCAATGTAAATGATAAAACGATTAAAACTCCGCTTCAGAGGAATAGTGAGAATTTTAGAAACAGTATGAGGATATGTAAGGAAATTTTAACGGAAAAGTGTCGCTTTAAAAATAAAGAGGCAAGAGCTCAAGACTAAAGACATTAACAGCACCTCTGTTTTAACCAGCTGAGATGTATTACGGCGGGAGCAGGCCACATGAGCTTTGAAGGTACTAGAGCGAAAACCGAAAAACCCTACTTGTTAATTTTGCAAACAAGAAAACCCTGCGCCCTATACGAGGAGAAGCTGAATGCCAGGAAATATTCCTATTAAGTTCCGAAGCGATCTAACAAAGAAATCTTAAAACCTAAATTTAGTGCAAAAGATTTTCCGGCCTTAAACCTGGATACACAGGGAAAATGAAGATTAATCCTCATGCCTCAGAAAATAATAATAGATAGAAAAATTGACTACCTCCCTCTTCGGCGAAAAAGGAATACTTCACACTATCAAAAAGATACTCACAAACAACCAAACACTACAAAATCCTTAAAACTGCAGAAAAAAAATTCAACCTTGTCATAAATATTATATAAATACTTCAATAAATTGCAGAATAGATGATATTAGCCGGGGAAAAGAAATAATCTGCTCAAATGGCTTTAGCCTTTCCAACTTTCCATTGGCACTTGATAGCGCAGAGGTATGAGTCAAGGGGTATGAGTCTTGACTCATACCTCTGCGTGCGGGAAAGATCTCTACTGATATTGCTAGAACTCAGGATCTAAACCAGAATTTTAAAACTTAGCTGTATTTCTGTTAAATAGTAACCTGACTTAACATTTTGCCTTAATTAGAAGGCTAAGTAAAAATTTCACTAAAATTTTTGTTTTTATGAGAAACTTTTTTCAGGAATTATCCAGAAACTATGGAATCCAAAAGTTCCCTTTTGTATCATAAGAAGGCGGCACAAGTTTATATCTTTTTGGTCTTATTATCAAAAGCGCTTCGCTCTCTCTAATTTCAAATAACGCCACTGTCGTAGGGCTACATCCTCATTACATAGGTCAATAGCTTAATATCTATTATGCCTATTGAATCCTCACGATCAGCGGTCATTGTTTATCAGCAGAATTCAACAATTCAAACGGAAACAGTTTTAGCACATTCAAGTTTCTTATGTAATAAACTAAAAAGTAATATTCATAGATGTTTCGTAAAGGATGTAATATGCAATCTACTGTGTTTGGTTAGATGATTAGATTATTAGATGTGTTTGATTGTTGATTTAATCATTTCATTTTTCCTCCATTTTATCACACTTTCGAATTTAAGAATAGCAGTCTAGTGGCTCCATCTAAAGTGGCGCCATTAAACAGCTAGCCGTGGCGCTATCTTAGTGACGCCAGGCTAAAAGCGATAGACTGCATTCAACATTACTGCCGATGTTTCTCCATTTGCACTTTAAAAGGCCACTTACGTGGTATAATGAATTTTACATCTAAAACACAGGATGCCATTTTCAGTTTGTATGTTTCGATACATTGGTCATTCGATACATTGATTCTTTGATCCAAGTTTGATTACTCACATCTGATGCTTTATTTCATACAGCCTTCATAAATTTCGTCTTTTAAAAATAAAGGTAATTGTTTCAGCTTCATTAAATTCACCAAATCTAATTAACACTACTGTTCGGAAAAGGAAATTTAAAAGGGCAGGTTGGTTTGGTTTGGTTTATTGAGATTACGGCAAAGCACACTAGGCTATCTGCCTAAGGGGAGGGATGCCTTCTAGGAGGAATTTCTAAGGGAAACTGGCTCGTATACACGTTACACATGGGGAAAAACACTAAAACGCCCATGCAGCCAGCCCGTTCGCCCGATTCGAACCTCGGATCGAACTACCAGCGTTCAGCGACTTTACGGCTCGGCTGCTGGTGGTCTTAAAAAGGGGCAGGAGAATAGCAGAAAGATCTAGAACGAAAAATTTGGCTTTTCAAAGAAAGTTTCCTTTTTTATAGATTTATTTATGGCAAGATAATAGGCTTCTTTTAGGTCATTGATTTTCAAATTCAACTAAGTGGTATAAGGGAGAAAATATGTATACTCCTTTCGATACTGATGATACAGTATTCGTTACTTTTATTTCATAATCCAACTGTCAAAATTTTTTAAATAAAGTCCTTTTTTCTCATCCACATAATATTGTAACTTGTACTTTTTAAAATTTTTTAGGCGTAATGGTTGCACATTTTAAACTCATCATTTTATTTTTACATAATTGAAAAATAACCATTTTGGGTTTACATATTTTAAATAAAGAATGAAATTACCACGAAATCCTGTAGTCTTCGCCAGAATTAATAAATATATAAGCGATAAGCAACGGAGGACGTGGGCACTGTCCCTTTACCAATTGGGTTAATCAGTACAGCACCACGTCCACCTTTATCTTACATTTCGAATTACATTGTATATTACGATACATTAATAAATATATAGACAGATATGATAAGAAGTTAATTTTTTTCATTTATAACCATACATTTGTATAAAAGATCTGTACAGAAACGTTTGCCAATTCGGCGGAAGTACCATTGTAAGGATCCTAAGTTTTACTAACGTTTATTTTATTTTAAATCTTTACTATCACTTCTTATTTTCTACTTCCGGCCAGAATTAAAAGCTTTAACTTATTTATGCAAATTTGTCTTGCTAACGCCAAGTACTTAAGTTGTCGCTTTTTGCCAAGCAAACGAGAGGAAGGAGTTATTAGAAGCAGGCCGCTTGCCATAGTAGTTTTACTCGGTTGCTGGTTGCCTTCAAGGCCAGAGGTTTAGTCCTCTTGATAATTTCAAATGTATCGTAGTTTCAGCAGCTCTCTGTACTACATACGGATTTTGTTAAATAACGGCCAATCTTAAAGTTAGGCACTTGTATATTAATCCAAAGTTAGTTTTAGTTAGAGTTTTAGTTAGTATTTTTATATTCTTACGTTCAGACCACAAGTGTTTGGCGACTCTGTATTCCGAAGTTCCGGAAATCTCTGTAAAGATAGAAAAATAAAGGGTTTCGTATACCCTTCCTGTGTGTATTGTCTACTTCACAATTTATTGAACATAGCTTGAGTAAGCTCCCTGTTCCGAGTCAGGACAGTTCATGTTTCCAAAGCAAGTAAAGAGGAACGCAAGTCCTGATACCATGTGCGGTCAATATGATATATATATATATGTTTATAATAAGAAAACTTTCCATATACCATCTCCAAGCAACACAGGCTTTTTAATTTACTTTTAATTACTTTATTTTGAATATATATATATGAGTAT